AAATAAAAGATTACAATATCCAAAAAAATAATTCCTCGTCTCGTGTCTTAAATTAACGGATATCGCAATCTTGATAGAGCACTTAACCGGCTTGGAGATAAAATTAAAAATAATCAAAAAAATGATCCGTAATCTCACGGCTCAAATTAATGATTATATTTAATTTTTGTCAATAAAATACTATCGGATAATGCCTAAAACACTCAAGATCACATTGATTCAAATTAGAAAATAAAACATCAAATTTAAAATTGGATTGGATAATTACCTAATTTGAATATGCAACCTCCTAATCAGACCGGCGGATGATGGTGGATCGGCGGTGCTCAATGGTGATGTATTGTCGAAAGCTCGCGGTTTAGGGATCAACTGCGGTACTGGCATAGCGGCTCGTCGTCATGAGCTGGTGCAGGTAGAGATGCAAGCACCAAATAAGTGGCGTTGGCGAGGCAACCACTTGCTGGAAATTAACTATAGCCTGGAACAACCTGCACAAGGAGTTCACTGGACGTTTGCTTGGGAATTGCTGGGCTGTTGTCGAGGCTATGGTGGCTGGCGGCAGCAAGGAGTTCACTTGGCTAAATTCACCAACACTCGGGAGACTTGGTGTCGTGCCGGAAACGACCAAGTCAATCTTCTTTCTTCTTAAGAATGTTTAAAATATAAAATGCCCTGGCTTCTTTCCTTTCTGCATGTGCCCGTGGACACCTAAAGATGTTCTCGAATATATCCCCATGTTGACCTATTCCGCTTTCCTCTTCTTGTATTAAATTTATGTTTTTTTTTTTTTTGGTACAAAGATATGAAAGAGACAAAACTTGTCGATCTTCCTTCTTTCATTTTCTTTGTCCGCACGTTCATGTCCACCAGCTCGACTGAATCCTCTTGTCTTCAATTCTTGCCCCAATACCGCTCTACTTTCCAATTGTTTCTTGACCAAATTTTGGTACGCAATCCACAGAGTCAATTTTTTCCTCTTTCTTCATATGCATGTACAAATTCCACGAAGATTATTTTCAATTATTCATCATGTGAACAAATGTCGGTGATAATTTAAAGACCTATTTGGTACACGTGATTATTAAAATTTTGCCTGTATAGTCTTCAATGGGCTTGGTCAGATTTTTGTGCTCTTATAGGCTTACCTAAGTCCATCTGTCGCTGGTCCAATGCAAATGCAGTCATATGGGTCTATTACTATCAAATTCTCCTATAATTTATATGTAATTTAAATAGTATTCTTTTTTAGGGGCCAGGGTGGATCCCTAATTTTCTAATGCAATGAATTACTAAATGGAACGCCAAAATTTAGGTGTCAACACTTACACAACTTTATCTATAAAATCATTTTGAAAGTCATGGCTAACCATTTGAAAAAATGCCTCCCAAATTTAATTGCGGTAGAGTATAGTGCATTTGTTAGCGGGATACAAATTCAAGCAACTAAAATTTTTTGATTAACTTGTATACACGATAAAAACAAGTAACGAAATAGTAAAAAAAAAAGATATATGCGTACAATGTACAATAACGGATGCTTTTGCTCGTGAACTAACTATATCATCCGTTATTTGTACACTGTACACATATGCCTTTTTTTAACTATTTCGTTAATTGTTTTATCGTTTATACAAGTTAATCAAAAAATTTTAATTACATTTTTGTGGTAATGCTTAGAGAGAGAACATTTATTTCTTACTAGGATCATTTAAAATTTACATCAGTAAGAACTCGAGATCTCTAATAATGAGATTAAGGTTTATATTTTGAGGTGAGACATTACTATTATAAAGATTATTTTTTGGTTCATATAAAAAAAATTTACTAAATTTAATTGAAATACTCCATTTATTAAAATTATGTCAGTAATACTCTTTAATGTTCATATCTAAGTTAGAAATTAAAATTTCTCTTTATCATTTCACTTTTTTGCATTGATTTGTTATGTATATTCTTTCATGTATGTAATAACAACAACAACATAATAATTGAACGTCAATTCAATTACCTTGAAAGTTTTGGCCCCCTTCTTTTAATATCTGGTTGTCACTGGCGGGTCGACCATCAGCGGTGGCCGCAATGATGCGCAATGAAGGATGCATAGACGGGAAGGAGAGAGAATGTTTGAGAGAGGGGTCTTTCTAAGGTCTGGTAAAAGAAAAATGGGACCTTCAATCCCGCCTAGTTGATCCAAACTTTTCTTTAGAATTCGTGATTTTCCTCATTTATGATAATTTACTTGGTACATATTATTTCATAACTTTTTCTTAGGGAAAATTCTAAATGCGGGCTTGAAATGCCATTATTCTCTTGTGTAAGAGCCTGAAGTGGACCTTGTTTCAAATAAAGATATGAAGTACCATTTTTTTCTCAAAGATGGGCCAAACCTCACCGACTAATCAGGGGCATTTTCGTCCTTTTATTTATTTTTATTTTTCCGTTTTTCTTTTCTTCTCTCCCATTATCCTTTTTACCATTTCTTTTTTTTTTCTCCATCACCAACAATCACTAGCCAGCGAGGGCCCAGTGACCCTCACCAATCAAGGGGCGAGGGCCGGCTTCGCTGGGCGAGGGTCGGCCTTGCCAATCAATAGGCGATGGTCGGCTTCACTTGGGCAAGGGTCGGCCTTGCTAGTCAATGAGCGAGGGTCGGCTTCACTTGGGCGAGGGTCAACCTCGCTAGATTTGGCAAAGGTTGCCCCCATCGGCCACTAGTAAGGCCGGCCCTTGCCAACGCCCAGCCGAGCCCTTGTCCAGTGGTTAGTGAGGGTCATCGGGCCCTCGCTGGCCATTGATGGTCAACAACAGAGAAAAAAAAGAAATGGAAAAAAAGAAATGGGAAAGAACAAATGAAAAAAAGATTTAAAAATGGAAAAAAATTAAATATAAAAGGATGAAAATGCCCTTGATTAGTTGGTGAGGTTAGGCCTTTCTTTGAGAAAATAATGGTATTTCGGGCATTTATTTGAAATACGGTCCACTACAGGCCCTTATTTAAGAAAATGAGCGCACTTCATGCCCTTATCTGGAATTTTCCTTTTTCTTAGAAGAATTTTTTTCCCTTTTGTTATTGTATCTTTTGTAGATCCTATTAGTCGTAATATTGCACAAAAGTGGTAATTAGTCTAAGTTAATAGTAAATTTCTTTTTTTTACTAATTACCTATTGGATTGTAACTTTCCTTTGGCATACATATTTGTCCTCACTTATAGTAATTTATCTGTAAAATATCATATAGTCTTTCTTTGGGTTAATATCACAAAAAACTCCAAACTGGTATGCCTGTGACAAATTTACCCCAAACTAATTTTTTGACCACCAAAATCTCCAAACTGGTACACATGTGACAATTTTATCCTCCGATAGTTGACATTTAATTTTACTGTCAAATTTCTAAGTTAAATAAGACGTGGCAGTTTATGGATGTATTAGTTTAGGGTTTTACCCTCCGTTTATTATAGATGTTCCAGTTTGTGATTTTTTGTGGTATTAATCCAATTTAACGGAGGGTAAATTTGTCACAAATGTACCAATTTAAGGTTTTTGATGGTAAAAAAATTAGTTTGGGGTAAATTTATCACAAATGTATCAGTTTGAGGTTTTTGGTGGTCAAAAAATTAGTTTAGGATAAATTTGTTAAAGGTGTATCAGTTTGGGGTTTTCCGTGGTATTAATCCTTTTTCTTTAGAGGGTGTAATTTCCTTTAAATGGTCTATGAGTTCTCATGAATTGACCACGGCTTAGAAAGTGGCGTGTAAGATGCACGTGCTCGCCAGTCGATGAAGATTTGGTAGGCTAGAGAGCTAAGGGTGTGTTTTGAGTCTAAGTTACCCACATTAGTACCTTATTTGAAACAACGTGCACTCTAGAGACTTTTCTAAACTAAACTCTTTACGGCTCTTTTTGAAATAAGGTCTACTCTGAAAACTCTTCTGAACTGTCTTATTTTACTGCCATATTTGAAATTTCCACTGAATAAGAAGTTCAAAACTACGGCATGACATTTGAGCGTTATCTAATACATTCTGACACATGTGACACCCTGTCCACTTACGTGTAGGCTGCAAAACTTCTTGAACTCGAGACTATATGCAAGCACGAATTACAATGACCAAGAGAACTCAATACTAATTGCTTCCAATGAGTGGTCAAGCTACAAAGTTCATCTGCAGAGGCAAAAAAACAGCTTTCATCCACTGATCCTTCAGAGCATAAACAACAGACGGGAGAGAGAGAGAGAGAGAGAGAGAGAGAGAGTACATTTTCCAGGTTAGTACGGTTGAAAGGAGAATACAAAGCCTTTTGATTTACAAGTGAAAGGATCTCTCCATGTGCCAAAGAACATCGTGGATGCGACCACTAAATTTTGTTTGTGTGCCTCGAAAGATGCCGTGGTAAATAGAATTAGGCTCGGAGATATGAGGTTGAGCAACATGCTAGAGCGCCAAAGAGGCATGTGTTGAGTTCCAGGAGATGGACAAGCGAAAAAGGGTATTAAGTATTTTTAGGACAACCTGAATATAACAAACAGAAATCAATGATTCCGGCAAACTCGGATTAATGGTCATAGCAGTTAATTGAGGTTCCGTGAGCACCATTAGAACCATTCTTTTGAAAAAAGGAAGAACTCCATCCAGGGAATTACTTAATGTTAACATCTGCTAGCATTCGACCATGAACGAACAATCCACAGAGATGCAGAGTAGTCTCAAATCTTCTACGCCCATGAAGATTTTTATTTATTCAGGATATGATTGATGAGTGACATGCAAACACAAAGAAGAAAATTGTAACAACTTTCACTTAGAATGTAAAGATTTTGAGTACGTAGTTCATAACTAAAACTATTGGGCAAGAGCACGGAATGATTAATACGAGTTTTGAGTTTGGTAAAAATGAAACAAGTAAACGACAACCTAAGTTCAACAAAAAAGTTAACACAAGAGGTGCTTGGAATGTAAACCATACATACATACATAGAGAGAGACACGCGCACACACTCATTTTGATCTGCACGACAGAATTCGCTTGGAAAGTTGCCTCAGCTGAACTCGAGGTGCTTCATTACGCTGGACCGCATCATCAAAGGACTCAGAGTCATTGCCAACCCTCTCATTCTGACTGACGCATGAAGGCGCGATAACCATCTTCTTCTTAGAGCTCTTCTTGTTGAGGTACCGATGAAGAAACACAGGAGTCGAAGTGAAGCACTTGACCTGGAAATACCTGATCAGGAACGGGACACTCGATCCAATGGCGCACACAGTGATTGCCAACCACTCGACGTCGGTCGATATGACGCTGTACAGCCCTGTAATGTAGGCCACCATGGTCCCTGCCAGGGCGAGGTAGAGTAGCTTCTTGCTGTACACGATGGCCCTCTTCAAGAACGTCTCGTCACTGAGGATGGCTGAGATCAAGATAAATATGATCGTCAGGGAAGTAGAGACGGCGAGGACGTCGGTTAGGATGAAGACCATGAACGCAGGTTGATTGATGAGGACAGCGTCGCCAGGTGAGTGGGGGGGAGGGCCAGGTAATTGCGTAGGAGGCAGGGGGTCAGAAGAGTCGGGGAAGTTGCATGAGGGGGATGACGGCAGTGAATTAGTGCCAGAGTCACCAGGCGTGAAACCTCCAGGCAATGTGAAGGCAGCGGCAAAAGTGATGGTGGTGAGGAGTGTGGCCACAACGGTTAGGGCGTTGGCGTGGCCCTTGAGATCGGCTTCGGGGTTGTCAAGGGGGGTGAGGGGGCTTTCAGAGTGGTTCAAGATGTGAGGCTTTTGGCAACGGACGGCCGGGAGGTACTTCAGGTATCGGTAGAGGTATGCCTGCAGATGAACAATTATTGTCAGCAGTTAATAGAAGTAGGCTATGGAGATGAACCCTTCTATTTCAACTAAGGCAAGGCTAGTGTGATTTCCCTCCAAAAACTGAAAACATAATCAATAACCAAGATAGGTGAGAGGAAGCAATAGTTTAGTTTACCCGGATTGCGCGCACGTTTATAAAATTCTATTGAGTTTACCACGTTTATAGTAGTGGTAGATTAATTCTGTAAATCATATTTAATATTTCTAACATTTGAAAAAGATTAATATACATAACTTATTGCATCAACTTTATTAGATTAATGTCAAATTACTTAGAAGTACCAGTAGGCACTAAAACATGTGAACTAAAAGAAAAACAACAATGTGTAACATGTTAAAAATATATACACAACAAAATATAATTTCGTCTCAAACTCTATGTTATAAAGTAAGGTAAAGTAAAGACGAATTTCCGTCTCAAACTTTTACAAAAAAAAAATGAATAAATGTTATGTGTGTTACCAAATTGATAACAACTATGTATTATAAAAAACAAACGAAATGGTAAGTTAAAAGGTTATTAACACCTCATCTCTCATAAACCTTTATATTACCTAAATTAGAAATAGATCTTCATCATTCCGCAATAATGTAAATTCATTTTCTCAAATAATTAAATCGCACTTCCTCTCTATACTATTTTACCTTCTTTTATCACACAGATTGGTATACCTCGTTTGTTAGTTTTATTATACCAGATCAATCTCACACATGTAAGAAACTACGAGATAATGCCCATTGAACCTGCTGAGTTTTCTGACCTAAAAGAAACCTGCCGAGTTTGTGGCTCAAATTCTTGCTGCATCGGAGTTTGCATTGGAGCTCAGAGAGTCGAGATAGTTCCGAGACAAGTTTGGAGGTGTTCAAAGTGTGAGAAAAGACAGGAACGGGCACACAGGCCAAAGGCGCGGGCTGCCAATCTGATGAAGCTCAGTAGCCGAAGCTTCTAGGCATGGATGGGGCGGCCAGCAGAACATGAACACGGTTTTGTGAGGCTTTCTCTAAGGATTTTCTAGTTAAATTGAATGAGAAAAAAATATGAGAGCTCGTGAGGATATGTGTATTAGTATTTGGAAACACATGAGAGATTGACTAACTATATAATTTTCCAATTGATAGGTCAGTGCAGCTGGCTCTCCCATGAAGTAAATACCAACTTCCAGACCGAGCTACATAAATTTATAATGCTCTTTATCATTCCTCATTAATTTCTCTAATAATTTTTTTGTCTTGCGTAAGATTTTAATTACAAGGTCCGTTAGCTTCCACCTTTCTTCACGAAAGCACCCAACAAAAAAGCCCATTGTCTTTGACTCTTGACATTTTTTCGGAAACTATGATTTGGTGCACACAGTCGTATAATATGATGAGTAAATAATTACCTTCTTCTTGGTGAATTGCCACTGAGACTCACAAATATCCAGAGCCGTGAGCCCATCGGCATTCTTGGCCCTCAGATCCACCGAAGGAATCATCAACAGCCTCTTCACCATCTTGTAGTTTTGGTCCTTAGCCGCAACGTGCAGTGGCGTGTCCCCGCGACCGTCAGCTTCGTTCACCAGCTCCACCAGCTCAGGCACTTTCAACACCTCCTTAGAGCGACACTGTCGGCACTTCAACGCGAGGTGAACCACATTATTGCCCTCGTTGTCAGAGATCTCGACCGTGTCAGGACAGTGCTTGAGGATCTCCCTCAGAACACAGAGGTGGCCCGAGGAGGCGGCTTCAAGCAGCGGGGTCCGGCCATGGACGAGGTCCTTGGCGTAAGCCGAAGAAGGGTCGATTTGGAGGAGGCGAGTGGCTATTTCTTTCTGCTTGGCTTTCGCCGCGAAGTGAAGGGCTGTTCTTCCTTTGTTGTCGGGCTCGTTGATGACTTTTGATTCCCGGAGATTTATGAGAGCATCCACGCATCCTAGGACATGAAGAACTCGTTGGAAGAGTAGATTCGAAGAAATGGGGGATGTGGCTGCGGATATCATGGTTTCTTGATATGGGGTTAGTTTTGCTTGCTTTAACACAGCATCTAGATGGTAACTTCTCCTAACTGACATGTACTTGATTCATTGAAGTATGCCAAGTATCTATCGGCAATTTTGCCGTCAAAGTTGCCTTTCTCTTCTTGAGTTTTTATAAGACGTACAATTTACGTCGAAATTTTCTTTTTACACAACACACCTGGGTAGTTATAGATTAAAAGTTTGACTTACCAGTATCAATAGTGATAGATGCAAGTTGTGAAACCAAGAAATGTGTAATTTTTGTTTCAGCCAAGAAAGTTTCCTCCAACCATATTTATGATTGCTGGGATGTAGATTAAACTTGGACTAATTGATTAGGTTTTCTTGGAATGTAAATTTTCTGACCTAAGTTAATATATGGGCAAACGCTAGTAGGTAGAACTATAACTAGGAGTTGAGTTGGAGCAAGTTGTGACCAAACGAGGTTGGATAAAGATACAATCGCAAATTGTATTATCTTGCCTAATATTAGAAAAATTGCCCCTGCTCATGTGTGAACACATGATAGGAAACTCTCGTTGCCCTATAAATAGAAATACCTTAATGTATGGTTGAATTGAAGCTTGACTATGAGATTCTATAAAAAATCTTATAAAAATGGAGATGATAAATTACAAAAGTACTCGTCTTTTTTTTTTTTTGGTTATGGGTTTCATACATAGTATAGTAGGTCAATAAAGCTGGCAAAAGAAAAAGAAAACAAAAAAAAATCATTTTGAAAATTCCTCATTTTATTCTGTACGTGTACAAATGAACTACCTCAGTTCCTTTTAACATTATATACCTTCCAAAAGCTCTTTGACCTTGTCACATTCTTATTTCACGTGCTTCGTAGTAGGTAAAAACTTAAACTTCAAGTTATTTGTGATTTGGAGTCGGATGAAAGTAGATTTGCCAACGTAGAGTACTATAGCTATATTTTGCACTTTTGTATCGTATCCTTAACGGAAAAATTATCCGAAAAGTCTTAAACCTATTGCACTTTTGCCAATTTAGTTCTAAACTTTTCATTTGTACCAATTGAGTCCTAAACATTTTCGCGTTTTGCCAATTGAGTCCATCCAGCTTATTTTGGTTGGAAATCGCTAACATGGATGCCATTCGTCCTACATGGCACGGCCGACACTAACGTGGATAATTTTTTATAATATTTTTGAATAATTTTTCAATTTTTTTATTTTTCTTTTCTTCTCTTTTCCTTCTTTACTTTTTTTTTTCCCTTTTTACCATTCGCTCTTCTTTTGTTTTTTTTTTTCCCTTTTTCCCCTTTTCCCTCCGCTGGCCTCAAGCGAGTGGCGCCCTCCCTAGCCTAGCGAGGCCCGCCCTCGGGCGAGGGTGACCCTCGCCCGATCTGGCAAAGAGTAGCCCTCACTTGAGGCCGGCGAATGGAAGAGGGAAAAAAGAAAAAAGAAAAGAAGAGAAAAGGAAAAAAAAAAGTAAAGAAAGAAGAGAGAATAAAGGAAAAAAAAGGATAAATAAAAAGAATTCAAAAAATTATTAAAATATTATTAAAAATTATCCACGTCAGCACCAGCCGTGCCACGTAGGATGCTTAGCGTCCACGTAAGCTATTTCCGGTTAAAATTGACTAGATGGACTCATTGACAAAACGTGAAAATGTTTAGAACTTAATTGGCACAATTAAAAGGTGTGAGACTGAATTGGCAAATGCGCAATAAATTTAGGATTTTTTGGACAATTTTCCCTATGCTTACCCATTGTGCAAAAGATAACTATATGAACGATGTTAAGAATGGAAGACATGTAGAATTTTTTTTTTATATTTATGGTGTGTTTATTTCACTGAAAGAGCTTTTAGCGAACTAATTTTCCAGACTTTCACTTATTCGGTTTGTTTAAAATGGTTAGTCATTTGTAAAACATTTACGATAAAAGAAAACAAGTATAATTAAAATTAAGAAAGTGAATTTGCGGTTCCAAATAGAGGAAATTATTTTCCCAAGTATAACAATCTCTTACCCCAAATGCTCTGTAGTATCTTCAAATTCTATCTCAATATAGAGTTTTATGTGCTTTTTAGCATATCATTACGAAATTTTCCGCAAAACAAGCACACCCGTAAATATTTGCATTCCATAAGTGAATTGTGATTTCCATGGAAATATTTTAGAAATCTATTTCCACAGTGCTTTCCATATATCTCCTTTTATTTTCAAGCGTGCAACCAGCTAACACGTATGAGAACTAGAAAGGAAAGAAAAAAGTTTGGTTTATCTTTTCAAATTTATCAAGAAATGTTGTGTTTAATAAAACTCCAATTATTCTTTTTCACAGTCGATGTGTATAAAAGAAAAGCATTTTAAAGCTACAGTAATGAATCATCAAACTAAGAATAAAGATAAAGAGCGATGAACGAATAGAAATATCATGTGAAAACAATAGAAATTGCAATTGAAATATTATAAATATGATTGTCTTACCCTTTATATATTCGGCTGTTCCCGGGTCATGTAAATTATACATTTAATAAACAATAATAGAGACGTTTCAACTAAATTCAATAGAGAAACTTTAAAAAAAATCATGACATCATTCATTTTTGTTAACGACGTATGACGAGGGAGAAAGAACGACCAAAATGAAATAATCTCAGTCGTTAGATAATTTTAATTAAAAAATCTGCATAATTAATATGTACTTACATTAATGCTTGCAAGTTGCAAAAATCAGTTTTAGTTCTATATATGTAGATTTAAGGCTAAAATGAGAGATCAGAAATTAATGAAAAATGATCAAAACAGTAAGATATAAGCTATTTGTCTTTTAATTTACCTACCGAAACAACTTTTATTAAACTTCTTGTTATCGTCAATGAACACAGAGAAAGGTTTATGTCCTAGAGAAATACTACACCTACTAACAAAGAGTATTAAGTCTATAAGATATCTAAGTCTTAATAAAAATTTAATCTGCCATTGGCCCATGTCTCATTTGCGTGCTTGATATGTATGTTTAAAATTAATCTCTCAAAAAATGAAGGACCCTGAGATTGGTCATTCAAGCATGTATAAATTTGCATACCAATGCTTCCAGCAAGAACAGCAGCATGCAAGGGGTTTTGGCCGTCCGGACCACTCAGAGCCCCATGCAGAACACCTCCTTCGCGTTGCATGCTCCTCCCCAAGAACTCCACCATCTTCTTCACCACTCTATCAAACCCTAACTCAGCCGCCATGTACAGAACGCTCTCGCCGGCCTCATTCACGCTGCCCACCATCTCTCTATCTTCTTCCCACAGTAACATACCCACCTCCTTATTCCCGTTCCTCAGCGCCTCATGCAACGCCGTGTTTCCAGCCCTGTTCTTCATCCTCAGTAAGCTGTTTCTGATCCCGGCTGTGCCTCCGTCCTCCATCTCTTTCATCTGCCGAGTGCACGGAGTGTCAGTGGTGGCCGTTGTATTGTGCTGCTTGGCCTCGGAGAGGATGACCTTCACGACATCAAAGTGGCATGTCCGCGCCGCGATGTGAAGCGGCGTGTTGCGGTGGGAGTTGGGCTTGTGCATAAGCTGCGGGCACTTCTGGAGGACCTGCTGGATGAAGTACTCATGGCCCGACTCCGCCGCAAGGTGGACAAGATTGTTGCCCTTGTGGGTCTCTAGCATGAGGCCGTCTAGTAGGGTTTCTTCTTCTCTATTGCCTCCATGTGTCTGGACGATTAAGTCTTTGAGGCCTGTGAAGTCGCCTTCTCTGGCTGCTTTGTACATACTTGAGTTTATGTACTTTTTTGGGGGTTTTATGTGCTCCTCCATCTTCGACACTTCTTCTTGAACAGGCCTCATTTTAAGTGTGTATAGCAAAGAAATGATGAAGTTATTGGGTGGCGATTAAGAGATGAAGTTTTAAGTCGAGATGCAATAAGATTTATAAGGTTCCTTGTGTGGTTGTTGGGCCACTTTCTAGGAAAGCACCGGTGTATAAGCCTGCACTCTGATTGGGTGATGATGATTTTCATCATATTTTGAAATCCCTTTTAGAAGACCGAAAGATTGCCTCAATAGATTTCGCTTGTTAATAATATATATATATATATAGTTCATAGAAAATTATGTAGGGCGTGTACAAATGAACTACCTCAGTTCCTTTTAACATTATATGCACCTAGGTAGGGGTGTGCAAAAAACTCAGGACCGCCCAGGACCGCCTGGGACCGGACCGGAACCGGTGGTTCCCAAGGGGACCGGTCCGGTTCCCGGTTCCAATTTTTTGGAACCGGTGGGTATCGGTCCGGTTCCCGGTTCCCGGTGTGGAACCGCCCACCCAGACCGGACCGGTAATATAATAATAATATATTTTATTTTTTTAAATTTTAATTAAAAAAATCTGGCCAAAAAAAAATTTAAAAAAAAAAAACGTAACTAGACACTCATAACTCTCTGCTCTCTTATCTCTGGACACTCATTTGATGGGTACCCACTTGATTTATGGATGATGTGGTTAATAGAACCGATCATAGTATAGGAATTTTATGGAAAGTTATGTTCTTTTCTTTTTGTTCCGTTGATCCGATGTTGGTCCACATGTTTTTTTTTTATTTGTCCAGGAAAACTTGGTGGGAACGGTTCCATGGATCTGCCCAGGAACCGGACCAGACCGGCGGTCCGGTTCCCGGGCGGCTCCATGGAACCGACGGGCGGTCCTCGGTCCCAAAATTGAGGACCAACACTGTGCGGGTTGGTCCTAGGGTTAGGGGGTGGACCGGCCCAACCCGGACCATGCTCACCCCTACACCTAGGCAAGCAAAAAGCAGCCAGCTATAAACTAAGGAAAGCAAGAAATGATCTAGCCAGCCCACGACAAGTCGCCAAGGTTATGGATTTATGCCTTCTCCGTATCTTCGGACCGAAGATGAAACAGAACCTGATGTCCTATTTGTTTCGTGAAAAATAAATGATTTGAAAATTATTTTCCTAAAAATGATCGTTTATATCGCTTACAAAAATGAATGAACAAAATCGTCTAAGAAAATATTTAGACATAAATTGTTGCCTATGATGAAAACATTTTTCAACTAATATTTTCATGCAATATGATCAATCAATTTTAGGAAGATATTTTCTAAATCATTCATTTTTTACAAAATAAACACACTCTTAGGGCCCGTTTGGTAACGTGCGAAATAGTGAAAATTTCTGTTCTTTTATTCCCAGAAATAGTTTGGGAACAGAAATGCGTTTGGTAAAATTTTTGTTCCTGGGCACATTTTTGCAAATATTTGTGCCGAGAAACAGTTTTGGAAGAGAAACAAGAAGTAAAAAAAACTTGCTTCTTGTTTCTCGGCACAATTTTGAGAATCAGTTTTTTTTCTTCTTTTTCTTTTTTTTCTTTTCTTCTTTTTGTGTTGTTCTTCCCTGGGTTGAGCCGGCGGCCGGCCCAAGGCCGGCGAGGCGTCACGGCCCTCGCCGGCCGCGCGGAGGCGAGGGTCGCCCTCGCCGGCGAGGGCGACGGGTGGACCCGCCGCCCTGGGTGAGGCCGCCTCGCCCAGATCGGGCAAGGCCGAGCCTCGCCGTCGGTCGCGACGGCGAGGTCGGCCTCGCCGTGAGTCGCGACGGCGAGGCTCGGCCTCGCCCAAATCTGGCGAGGCCAAGCCTCGGCGTCGCGACCCACGGCGGCCGACCTCGCCGTGGGTCGCGACGGCGAGGCTCGGCCTCACCGAGATCTGGGCGAGGTCGAGCCTCGCCGTCGCGACCCACGGCGAGGTCGGCTCGCCGTGGGTCGCGACGCCGAGGCTCGGCCTCGCCGGATCTGGGCGAGGCTCGGCCTCGCCGTCTCGGGCGAGGCGGCCTCGCCCGGCGGCGAGGGCGACCCTCTCCTCCGGCGGCGGCCGGCGAGGGCCGTGACGCCCTCGCCGGCCCTGGGCTGTGGCCGGTCGCCGGCGACCGGCCATGGCCAAAGAAGAAAATAGGTAGAAAGAAAAAAAAAATTAAACAATTCAAAATATTATTAAAATATTATTTGGGAACAGAAATTTTGTGTAGTTACCAAACGCATTTCTGTTCTTTTCTACTCTAGGAATAGAAATTTTGGACAGTTTATCAAACGCCTTCAAATACTCAGAAATTGTTTCCGAGTACAGAATAAAAAAAAATCATTTCTGTTCAGAAATAGTTCCCGGGCACAGAATGGTATTCATGCGCACCCTTAGCATTGTTCTTAAGTGTTTGATAGGTCAAAGGAGAGCTTTTACTTTCCTTTCGAAGTTGTACCGTGTTTGCGAAGCATTTTTATTTTCGTGACGGATCACTAAACTATTAATTGTGTAAAAAAAAGGTTTAGAACTAAATTGACGTAAAAAAATGGTTTAGGACCGAATTAGCATAATTGTAATAGATTTGCGACTTTTTTGATAATTTCCTCCCGTTTCCAGCTACGATGGGCAAAAAATACCACCTGTAATTTAATTTTTCTGTACCTTAATATGGCCCGTCACATCGTGGCCCCGAACACTTCTTAGGGCCTGTTTGGCAACTTGTCAAATAAGTAAAAATTTCTGTACTTTTGTTCCCAGAATCAGTTTGGGAGCAGAAATCTGTTTGTTAAATTTTTTGTGCCTGGGCACAATTTTGCAAAACATTGGTCCTAGAATCAGTTTTGAAACAGAATCAAGAAGAAAAAAAAAGTAGCTTCTTAATTCTGGAACAATTTTTCCATTTCTGATTCTTCTTCATTTTCTTCTTTTTTTTGGTTTGTTGTTGTTCTTCGACCCACCGCCCACCACCCATTGGCCACTAGCCGCTGGCCATTGGCCACAAGCAAGGGCCGGCGAGGGCGGCTCGCGGCCGCGACGGCGAGGCCTCGCCCAGTCAAGGCGAGGCCGGCGGCGAGGGCTACGACGCCCTCGCCGGCCTTGGCCTGAGGCTGGTCGCCAGCGCCGGCGACCGGCCTTGGCCAAGGAAGAGAAGGGAAAGAAAGAAAAAAAATAAAAAAAAGAAAGAAATATTAAAAAATTCAAAATATTATTAAATATTATTAATAAAATGAAATTTTGTGTAGTTACCAAACGCATTTCTGTTCTTTTTCTATTCTAAGAATAAAAATTTTGGGCAGTTACCAAACGCCTTCAAATGCTTAGAAATTATTTTCGGGCACAGAATAAAAAAGAATCATTTTTTACCAGAATCTGTTTCCGGGCACAGAATGGTTGCTATACGCAACCTTAGTTGCTAAGATTCTCCATCCGTAAACAAATGCAATGAAGGCAATCCACCTTCTCTATTCCCTCACGCCTTCCCATCTATTTCCATCATAAATTGCGGTGGTTGAACAATCGTTTTAAGTTAATCCAATCCACTCAAATTTCGTGCAGATCCGGTCAACCAAAACACTTGTCGTTTTTTATTATTTTCCCAAGCGAAACAAGTCACTTTTCTTTTTCCCCGGAAAGTACAAGAAGTTGACACCTCTCACGCCAAAACAAAAACTTGATTCTATAAAAAAAAAAAAACCTTAAATTTAGGTCAAATCTCAATTTTGTTCTGGATCTTTTATTTCCATCTAAAAAGAAAATCACAAGCTTTTGCTACTCTTCTGGATCTATCCTCCATCCAAAAATTGCTACCGATTTCTTCGCAATTATCAAAAAGAATATCTTATATTCTAAATTCGAAATCACTTTAATTGTCGAATATTTCATAAATATCTCATATCTCCCTACCCTAGCATCGCGGCCCTCGCCCAGTGGCAACCAGGACTTCGCGGCCCTCGCCCAGTGGCCGGTGAGGGCTAGGAAGCCCTCGCTTAGTAGCCGACAGAGGGTTGCCGGCCCTGCAAGCCTTAACAATAAAAAAATAATAAAAATTTCTCAATTTTTCCACATCAACATCGACCGTGTCACGTAAGATAGTCGATGTCCACGTCATTAATTTGTAACCAAAATTGGCCGGATTGACTATATTAGCAAATTATTAAACTGTTTAATACTAAATTGGCTAAATTGAAAGATTTGAGACTGAATTGGTATAAGTGTAATAGGTTTAGGGTTTTTTTTTGGTAATTTTCCCTTGATAGGAGAAAATATGATCCCAAATTGTCTTATCTTGCGTCATATTATAAAAATCACCCCTGCTCAAGTGTGAAAACATGATGATAGGAAAATCTCGTTCCCCTATAAATATAAATACCTTATGTATGGTTGAAATTGAAGCTTGACTGTGAGATTCTATCGAAAATCTTATTAAAAATGTAGATGATAAATTACAAAAGTACTCGTCTTTTTATTTATTTATTTTGTTATGGGTTTCATACATAGTATAGTAGGTCAATCAAGCTGGCAAAATTATCCAAAAAATCTTAAACATATTGTACTTTTGCCGATTCAGTTCTAAACTTTTTAATAATACCAATTGAGTCATGTCGTGACCTCCCC